ACAGATCTGTGCGGGCAGAAAATTGGCAAAAAACAAGCAGGTCTAGCAAGCACAGGGATAATGGGGACCAACAGCATAAAAGCTACCACAATTGAATCTCAAACCTTTTCATACAAAATAAGATAAAGAATTGTGGCTGGAAAATCTCACCTTTTTCCAGTTAAAAAATGTAGGAATAGAAACAATAAATAAACTTTAACTTGGTTCCAGGTGATTCGTGGAGAGAAATGTCTCCATTTAAGAGCTTAGGAAAACATTCTGAATTGCAGTTAGGGAAATTCTGTTAGCAAAGACCAGAAAAGGAGGGCTGTTTCTCCCCTTTTCCAGCCAGTGGGCTGTAGTCCATTAGGGAGCGGCTTGGGAGCGACTGGGGTTTTGCTGTTCACTCGGAGCCTGCAAGGGTGAGGTCACGAAGCGCAGTGAGCGTGTGGGAACTCCCCCACGGCTGGAAAGGGTGAGGGGAAACGGGAGATTGAGGTTTGGAGAAGTTGTTATCAGATAATGGTGCTCTGTAAAAGGCTCGTGTTTTATAGCAGGAACACCAGATGACTTCTGGCTTTAATAGAGATCAAATCTTCTGCAGTCTGAAACATCAGGCTAATTTCACATATTTTGACTTTGAATTAAATTACGATTGAATACTCTTATGACTAATCCTTGAATTAATGTAATAGTGAAATCAAGTCCATGGGCCCAAACTCAGTGAAAACAGTAATTTTCCAGTAGGCACATATTCCATACTATTTAAACCTATCTCTTTAGCTTTCTAAATATAATACACATTTTTTTCCGATAGGCTGGAATTCTTAAAAGTAGTTTTTATACAATGACTATAAGCAAAATGGGCTGTGCCAAAATGACCTCCATTTCGAACTCAGTGATCTGTGCTTTGCTGTCACCCGTATTAGCAAGCACAACAGAACCGTTGACATAAAACAAGGGCTGCAGCTTTAGTTTAAATAAAAACTATGACATAATTTTTGAGTTTACTGCATAAACTGAAACCTGCTTAGCAAGGTATTATCATTCTCTGAATTTAACACGCACATCTCCTTGTCAAAATGAGTTTGGATTCTCAGTTGCTTTGCACATGAGTGTTCATTTAGCTCTTTCTAAGAACACTGCACTTGGTGTAAATTGCCATTAAATCCGTGGTAACGTGTTTTACAATTTTTGCAGATACGTTCATTTACGAAAAAAAAAGAGATATAATGGAGCAGAAAACCTGCTATTCTTCCACCTCCATTTATAGAAGGAGGAACTGCGGCATAAACTGTATGAGTTTGGAATTTTTACCTAAGAGAAGGTTCTGTTGAGCTTGGTTATTTGACCTAATTCCGGCCACCCAAACCAATGTCTTCAGTGGGCTTGTATCAAGCCCCCAATGAGCCTGATTCCTACCGTGACAAAAAATACAAGTTACAAATTTCCCATACTAAGAAACTTGTATCTCTGAGTGAGTGTACAGTATGCGACTTCCTGGTTAACACACCAATAACTGTTGTAGGATTTTAATCAAAAAGGGCCAATGAAGATGTAATGCAGATAAAGAACTGAATATTCACTGTGTTTTATCAAATAAGGCTTTCATTTTTAAAGCAGTATGATAATCTTCAAATAAAACCGTAGTTATGAAACCAAAAGCCTTTCAAAGTATTTAACTCAAAATCAAGGAAAATAGGTTACTGCATATGAAGTTCACAGAAAGGATAAAAGAAAAATTGTCCTTACACATGAATTAGCAGAGGGTGTACTAAATTTGTAAAATTATATATTCCTTCTGTTGATATTTACAAAACATGTAAATACAGCAAAAGTGAATTACAAGAGTCTGTAGAAATATAACTTTATCTAACTTTTAATCACAGAAAATTGCTATCACAATGCACAAACATCTGTTTTTTCATCAAAAGCAAGGGTAACGTATACTTAGGAAAACTGCACCCAGATGCTGAACAAAAGTACTATTAATGGAAAGACATCTTCAGTCGACCAAAAGGTTAAATTAGTCTTCATACCAAATACATTTAAATATTGAATATAAATTTTACATATTAACTATAAGGTATCATCATAAGAACTGAAAAATAAGTCAGCACCACTACAACGTAATGCATTTTTAAAGAGATGAGTAACATCTATACTACATTCTGTCAAGTCTTACTTGTTAAAAAGAATGCACCATGTATATCTTACTTAGCAAAACATGGCGCTATATACATATAGTCAGCATCAGTGTTTTATTTACAGATATGTACAGTGCTAAGTTTTGACAGTTTATAAAAGTTTCTAGTGCCACTCATAAAATGGTGGCACTTTCTGATTTAGCCTTTTAGGCTACTTTGTTAAAATAAAACATCTGAGAATATAATAGAAATGTCTTTAAGTTTAGGAGTATAAAACTAAGTCACATTTCCACCATGACAATCAAATATAATTCATACTGTTTCTTACCTACAAGTAGAAAATATATTTTGCACTGTAAGTCACAAAATAAGTGGCTAAAGGGCTCCATGAAAGCATCCTGTCCCATACAAATACCACCTTCTTCTCAGTGTTAAGTCAGAGGTTGGACCAGCAGCTGCTGGTTTATTTGCTAGGAAAATCAGCAATGAGTTAACAAGCCCTATCCTGTCTCCTGCCTTATGTGATTTGAATATGTGTATACAAGGAACAAAGGGAGTGGAGCACCTGTTAGATTAGTACCCATCTTCATTGCCTCTGACTTTATCCTAACCCTTGCCCAGTACAGGCACAGCAAATGTGACACAGAATATAACAAATGAGGTGCAGAATATGAAGCACTCGGAATTAATAAAAATAAGTGAATATTCACAATGTACAAGTTATATAGGTATTAACGTCATATAGTTACACAGTGACATAAAAAAACACTGTGCTGTTAGATGATTCTACTTATTTCAAATTAGATCCCAGTAGTCATAAGACTTTTTTTTTCATATAACACCTTTTCCAGTGGCAGGCTCTCATTTTCTGTTATAAAAAATATTAAACAGCTATTATAGAGCCTTACCTGAAACCAAAAACAACAACAAAGATAACAGATGACATAGTAGCTAGGAAAACGATAAATCTTCCCTCTTTCTAGTGCTTTTTTCCCATAACTTTTTCAAGGTTTTTCCTTAACATGCTTACTCAGAGATGATTTTGCTCCCTTTCTCTAAACAACATGTATGTAATGTGAAGGGTCTATTAGGTATCTTCCAACAAAGAATCCTTATCCTAGATAAAGTGGACAACTTACAAAAGCTGTTGAGTTAACTGCTTATTACTGTTTATTCTGCATTAACTTACATCAGTTTAAATGAATATTAATATTAATGCATGCTTTGGATTTTGTCCAAGGCTGTCACTCACTGTACAAATCTAATCAGCAGTAAACCAGACAACCCTCCCAGTGTTGCGTGTGCAGTAACAGTTTGCAACAGCAAATATTTGCATCGACTGAGATGGTTTATCCTTAGAAAAACACACTTTTAAGTTTCACGACACAGCACTTAGGCAGACTATTATGGTTTAACAAATATTAGGCTATACTGTATTCTGCCTTGTGTAGGAGGGATTGATTGCAAGGAATTGTCTCCCTCTATGCGCCTGTGCTGGTGCTAAGAGCAGGGGTCCTGCAAGGCGCTAAGCAACCACTGGCGGGACTGGACACTCCATTTTTACTGGAGTTAAAAGGAGCTACAAATTTCCAGAACCTTGCAGAATTTCTAGCAACTTTGTGTAATCAAATGTAAGAAATAAGAGGGATATTTCAGATTAACAAAAGCATACATGACAGAGATCCCAACATGAGCCAGCAGATGAAGAGGACATTTTGCATACTCCCGAGGGCTTCAAGTGTCTACTCTCCTGCTCCTCCTGAATGCTGCTGATTATAATCTTTGTTTAATCCACGTAACTGTAGGCTAGGCATGTCCTATTTTAACCTTTTTCTAAAACCCGAGTTAGAAATGATTATCTGCTTGGTTTCAAAAAGTAGTAAAATATTGGTCATAGTTTTCAATTAATTTCTAACTGAAATGAATGTGAGCTTTCACATTGGGATAAAGCGTGTTTTAAATGTACTATGTGGGCAAAGAAAATTTAGAAAAGTAGAACAGATGAGCATAGTTGTATTTTTAAGTAAGTGTATCCCCTTATTTCCGGCATTTGGACATGCTCCTGATGTAATTAATATGTTAGGTTGCTGTTTTTTACACTGATTAACTCACACAAATAAAATGTAAGTAAAAATGTACAATTATTTTTTCTATAGAATTCTTGTTTGTGCTGATTGTTACATAGCATTTAGACTTAATGCAAATCAAACCTCACAAATTTCTTTTTAATACAAGCAACTGCATTAAAGTTGCAAGTAACCCTATTTGTTGCAATAATATTCTGAATAATTTGCTATTTCAGCTAATTTTAGTTATTCTATTACTAATAACTTTTTTATGTGCTAAACTCGTTAGAGGTTTTGTGCAGAAATAACAAAGAATGCTGTTTTCAATAGCAGCCAGAACAAATAGGTTCTTGTTAAAGAATAATAAAAAGGGGACCATGGTTTCGAAGGTCACCTCATCATTCTGCCTTCTAATACAGACAGAAATACACCCATTTTCATCAAACATATTCTGCAAGAGGTACTTGGGCAGCTGTGCGGCTAAGTAACGGTATTAAGAAATATGTGCTGGGCTGGTCCATGTGCGGACCCTAGTATCTCCAAGGGGGAAGACAATCTTCTCTGGAGTTACGCGGCACTGCATGCACTGGTAGCCTTACTCTTGAACGTCATCTCTAGCAAAGCAAAGATCACGGGAAAAATTTTTCCTTTTCACATATCAATGTAAAATAATTTGGTTTAAAAATTTGTCAGCCTCTTTCTACATATAGTTGAGATATATACAACTCAACTAAGTGTACAGGCACGCAAGTCTGTCTTGGCTATGCGTGAACTGCATCATGGATGAACCGGCCTCAGGCTGTGGGCGATGCCCGAAATAACCCGAGGCAAACAGGTGACTGTCAGCGTATTTTTCAGTCTGTCTCTCTAGACAGACTGTCTCGTTTTATTTGTCTTTTCGGATAATTGCTTTCGGGGTCTAAAGAGTACGTGCATCTCGATGTTCAAACGCCCCACAACGGACCCCCAAATCCAAAAGAAGTACTTGGCCTGCTGGGCACTGCTGGGGAAGCTAGAAAGCTAGTGTTACCAGGATAAAAACAGAACGAGGAGGCCGAGGTAGGTCCCCGCTGCGCCCGTCCGTGCCTCACCGGCCTTTTAAGCGGCCGGCGGCAGGGGCAAAACGCTGCTTTTCCTTTTATTTCCCCCGAGAGCAGGCG